CTCTTTGGTGGGAACTTGGGTCCCGTCCCAGCTACGAGGGGCTCAGAGTTCAGATCCTCATGCAGTCCTTCGGAGAAGAAAGTGAAGGTCGTGGTCCTGCTGAGCCCATTCGAATGCAGGGATTACTGTGCTGAGGAATAGACTGAGGCTCAGGAAACTGCTGTTAACACTTCCTGGCCCGAGACTCAGCCAGAGGACCGAGCATGGGGCAGACTTGGCCAAGCAAGGGCCGGAGTCCAGCTCTCCAGGGTCAGAGTTCTTTCCGCTTCTCAAGCGGGAAGCCGGGTCCCTTCAAGGCCCCGGGAGGAGCTCTCTGACCAGCGTGAGTCTTTAGGGATAGACTACAAGGCTCAGAGTCGGTGCTCAGAATCTGGGTGTCTGCACCCTGCTCAACTTGGGCCTTTTCCTGGGGTTCAGCTTCTGCAACCGAAAACTGGGTTGGCTATAAACTGCCATTTCTCTTTCCTCCGTCACTTACTGGTTGCCTGACCTCAGCCAGGGTACTTACCTTCTCAGTGCCTCCTCTGCCACATCCTGGAAATGCGCATCATAATAGTATGACCCTCATTGGGTCCCCGCATGAGGATCCAATGAGGGCTACTGAAGGTCACAACTTTAAGGAAACAGTGCAGGGCGAGGGGAGGGGGTGCTAACTCCATTCCGAGGACTCTGAAGAAGGAAAATCTCAAGGCTAATTGGCCACTACCGGACTTATTCATTCGTGCACAAATGGTTGTGTGAGAAATATTGTATACCTTTTTCCTTAAATCAGCTTAATTCAGACTCTCAGTTCCCACCAGAGGAATTTCCACTCCAGTAACTCTGAGGACCTGCTTGGGGCAGATCATATTTTCCAGGTTGAGTCTCCGGCCAGCAAGGATATCTGCAACGGTATCTTCAGTCCCGCAAGCTCTTCTAGAACTTTGCCACCCCTCATCAAGAGAGGGAGACTATGTCCCCTTCCCTTGAACCAGGTGGGCCTTTGTGATGGCCTCCTCTAACGGAATACAGAGGAAACGATGCTACAGGACCGCGAGGCTAGGTCATGAAACGCCATGGATTTCTACCTTGTTCTCTGTCCACTCTGGAAACCCAGCCATCTTGCTGGGGGGACGCCCAAGAGGCCTGTGGAGGTGGCTCATGGAGGGGAACTGAGGCCTCGGTCCCCAGCTCTAGCTGAGCTCCCAGCTGACAGCCAGCACCAACTTGCTAGCCATGTGAGTGCGCCATCTTGAAAATGGATCCTGAACCTCCAATTGAACCAGCTGACATTACACAGAGCAGAGAGAAGCCTTCCCCACGGAACCCACCCCAAATTGCAGATTTATGGGCTAAACAAATGATTGGGTGGTGTGTTACATAGCAATAGGAAATAGATGCACCACTCTACCTCCACCCAGAGCTGTGCACAAGTCTCGGGGCTTACCTTGGCCCAGGCACCAAGGAGACCCTGACACCCATGTTCTTGCCCACAAGGACCTTCAGGTCTCTTTCTCTGCAGCTCCTATGCCACCTGGGGTGGGACAATCTTCTGAGAGTCTGGGAACCCCGTGGCCATACCCTTCTGAGGTCTGGCCATACCACCATCTCCCCTACCTCCAAGTTGGCCACTTGATCTCTTCTTTCAAGGCTTTCTAGAGTGGCTCTTCTTGCCCCTATTCCCACCTCCAGAATTCCCAGCTTCACTTCTGGAATGGACGAAGGATTTCACAAAAGATGGAAGTAGGCTCTGACTAGAGGCAGCTCTGTTCTCTGCCTGGCAAAATGCCCCAGGTAAGTTATGACGAAGCCTGACTCCTGCTGGAAGAGAGGGGACGCTGGGAGAACCAACCGCATTGGATATTTCAGCAAATAACTCAGACACACATCTACTCCACGATGGGGCCCTTACGCTCCCACTGTGTACCAGGCATTGCGCTAGGTGCTGGGGAGATAAGGTCCAACAGCAGCTCCGCCCACAGACCTGGGCAAGAGGGCCACCCGTGTCCACTCAGAGCCTGCACCCCACCCTCCTCTTCCCTCACGCTTCAGGTCTCTAACACCCTGGACATCTCTTCCTAAATGCTCTGCGTCCAGTTTTAGGGCTTACACAAGCAACTTTCCCAGGTCCATCCTTCTGAGGGTACAACGCCCCCATGTGCACTCCTAGAGTGACCGAGTGACGGCTGTGGGCAAGGCCTGTGGATAGAGTGTGGGCCTGTGGGCTGGCGTGTTCACATGCCTGAGTCCTGGGCCACTGTGACACAGGACAGACATGGGCTAGGAAGAAACCAGGTCGGGTGGGCTGAGGGCTGGGGTCACGGCTGACCCAACACCGCCACGTTCCTGCACAGAATTCCAAAGAGCCCAAGGGTTCTAAATTTGCACACGGCCTTCTTGGTCATTATAAAGAACATGTCTCAAGACAGGAGAACAAACATTTTATTTTAGCCTGTTAGATGTTTAGATAGAAGGTACGAGGGCCTTAATTTTCACTATGAACATGTTAGGGTATTTCTGCAGGATAGGACCAGTGCCCCAGCTCCTATGGGAAGACCTTCTTCATGAGGCTGCAGAGGATGGCGGGGGAGCACGGCAGAGATTCCAGAAGCTGCCTGCAGACTGCCCTCCGCGTTGCCACAGCTGCCTCCACCTCTAATCTGGAGTGACAGGGACCGGAAGGGGTAGCAGGCAGGACTAATGTGACCAGATGTCCGCCTGGAGGAGGGGGGCTGATGGGATCCGGCTGTTCTGCCAATCACCATCACAAACACCCCAGCTGGAGGGGAGGGACACGGCAGGGTAGAAGAGGAGGGTATTTTGTGCCCATTTTTCATGGGCTGGCTAGGATCGCAGCCCAACACAGACCAGCACGGTGGTTCTCAAAGTGTGGTCCCTGGACCAGCAGCATCGACGTCATCGGGGAGCTGGTTAGGCCCGTGGCCCCTTCCAGGAAAGATGGTGACCCTCTGTGGGGAGGACAGCAGAGTGGGATGCTGCTTGGCTCAAAGATTCCCCAGCCACACTCCCCCGACTTGGTGTGGAGCTTCTGTGAAGCAGACTTTTACTGGAAAGAGAACATGTACAGAGCATGCAGTGTCCAAGACGGGGCAGACACTTCATGAACACTATCACATTTAATCCCCACAGCCCTCTCAAGATTGGTGGTAGTAATTTACCGCCTCATCCCAGAGAGGTTAAGTACCTTGCCTTGCCTTGGGTCGCAAGGCTCCCAAGAGGCTACCTGGTCTTGGCATTCTCGGACCACCGTCTCTTCTTCACCATTATGCTCAACAGTGGTTCTCAGACCACCGTCTCTTCTTCACCATTATGCTCAACAGTGGTTCTCAGACCACCGTCTCTTCTTCACCATTATGCTCAACAGTGGTTCTCAGACTGGAGTGTGGTTCGGAGTCACCTGGAGGCCTTGTTAAGACAAATGGCTAGGCTCCTCCCCCTGAGTTTCTCATTCAGTAGGTCTGGGATGGGGCCCCCAAACACACATTCCTAACAAGATCCTAGATGCTGCTGGCAGGCCAAGGTCCATGCTTTGGGAACCGCCAAGCTGGGCTGGGATCCAGCGCCCTACCCTACTCCACCCACGCCAATGGGGCATAATCATCCCCTCCCCACAACGCGTCCTTGTGAGACGCCAGGGAGATAATGCGAGCGAAAGAGCTGTGTCAGCTGCACAGGTGGATGGCCCAGTCAGGACTCAGTGACCCGCCCGAGGCTGGCCCCTGGGGGCGGAGTGCAGAGGGCCGGGATGCGTGTGGGGGCACCCCGGCCCTCTGCAGATCTTTTGCAGCCCTTTTAGTTCTGAGCCACTTCTCAAGGGAGAAAGCCAGCCTCGGAGGGCTCAGGCCAGCAGCCCCCCGTGCCACCCCCCTCATCGGCCCACGCCTCCCCCCCACCTCCTGCAGCCTGCTGAGCACTGCCCCCGCGGATGACTGGCCCGGGCCACTTCTCCAGGGCCAGTCCAGGCAAGCTGGGGCAGCTCAAGCCTGTGATTCAGGACCTGGGGCTGGATCCGGCTCACCTCCAGTGAAGACTCAGAAGCCACGACGTCCCTTCTCTAAGCCTCAGATTGCTCATCGGGAACGTGGGCGCCACCTGAGTACCACCTGCAGAGCGCTGTGCCAGTTCAAGGGCCAGTGCTCCTACAGCGCTTGGCGGCGAGCCCGGCCCCCGGCGGGGGTTCCGCCGGTGGCAGCCGCTAGCATTTTCAGAAAGCGCCTGCCCATGCCGCCTGCTGATAAAGGCCGACGGGAACGCGAGCCGCTCCCACGCCGTTGCCGGCTGCGCCCAGACGCGCCCGCCCGGGAAGGCCGGCGTGGGGCGAGGCCCGGCCGCCGGGGCCGGGGCTGCAGGGCAGCACTGGGGCGGCGCGGAGGCGGGGAGGGCGTGCCTCACCCCGGAGGGCCGGGGGCGGCCGGGAGGAGAAAGTGGCAGAGGCGGGGTGGAGGGAGGGCCCGGGGGCGGCCAGCGGCCGGGGAGGGGCCTGGGGAGGAGGAGGAGGGCCGAGAGGGGCGGGACGGCGCGGGAGCGCGGCGAGCGGGCTTCCCCCAGCAGGGCTCGAGCGCGGGGCAGGGCCGGGGGCTGGAGGGGCGCAGGAGACCGGGCCGGGAGGCGCGTCCAGGGGCGGGCTTCATGCCCTGCGGGGCGCGGGGTCCGGGCTGGCCGGGATAGATCAGGGGGCCTCAGCGGGGCGGGGCGGGCCGGGTCAGAGCGCGAGGCCGTGGTGGGCGGGGCCTGGC